AAAAAAAAATGAAATGTTAATTAAAAAACCGGAAAAAAGATATAATTTTTTCTTCAGCCCACACGATTATATCCGCAAAACAGAGTGCTTTCTGATATTGTATCAATAAATCACTGATTTGCCCGAAATGGATTTGCCTGTGGTTAGAATTATTTACTTAAAATTCCTTTACTAAATAATTTCCTTTGTTAATCTATACAGTTTTTCCATGTGCAAATCCATTTCAGGCAAATCCGTGGATAAAATTGTTTGCTAAAAATTTCTTTGTTAATTTATACAATTTTCCATGTGCAGGTCCATTTCGGGCAAATCCGTGTTAAAATTATCTATTAAAAATTTTTTCTTTGATAATTTAAATTATTTTTCTGTGTGCTAGTCCATATCGTGCAAATCCGCGGCTAAAATTATTTGCAAAACAGGCAATTTGTGTTTCTGTTTTCTCTTTTATATTTTTTCTTAAATAAACATCTATCTTCTAAAGCTATTTATGATCAATTTTTAAAATTATCCAGTTTAATATTACCTTGCGCACATTCATTTCGGGCCCATCCTTGGTAACTAACAAATCAAAACTCAGAATAACAAATCACTTCAGCAGTGCAGTAAGAACGACACTTTAAAACCCTCTTGTTACACTCAATTTGCGCTTTTGTTTTCATCTATTGTAATCTGGCAATCTTTCTGCGAAAACATTTTTAAATCATTCTTGAAAAATATCCGTCCATGTAAGTTGATATGATTTTGCTACTCGCTTTATAGTCCCCCCTTTTTAATCTTTTTTCTTTTTCTTTTTTTTTTCATTATCTGTTTTTACATGTTATTTTTACTTTTTATAATCTATTTTATTTGTTGTTATTTCATAAAAAATTTTTTGAGTGCTCCTCACACTATTGTATTAATATATTTTGCTTTGGCTTTATTGATACAATATCAGAAAGCACTCTGTTTTGCGGATATAATCGCGTGGGCTGAAGAAAAGATTATAATTTATAAATAAAAGAAATGTGCAGTCTTGTGTGTATCAGAAGTTTTAAAATTCCTTTTGAATTGTTAATACCAATATCGTACTAGTGTTTAACAAAAATTCAATTATGGATATATTTTTTAAAATAAGCAAAAAACTTTGAAGTGTACTTTTGAGAGTATCCAATGTCTCATCGTTTTCAGCGTAAAAATGCAATGTGTTAAAAATTGATTTTAAGATACGTTCCGCTTTTTTTCAAAAGAGAATCGCTTTCTTTTTTAAGTTTCTAAGTAGTTCAACGTTTTGTTGATTGACAAGAACAACCATCCAAATAAAGAGTGCGAAAGAAGTTAAACAATTTGAGACAAGTACACATAAACATTCTATAGTTTTGGTTCTATATGAGGAAGGAATTGTCCAAGTAGAGAATGAAAGAAGGAGTGACACTCACCACGTCGTGGCTCATGGTGTTGCAGGACCTGAGTGGAAGCTTGTAAGATATCTTTGAGCCGGCATGCTCATATTCTGTGAGACAGGATGAGTTCTTGGAGAGTCCCTTTGGATAGATCATCCCATTGAAATCATCGTGTGTTGTGACGCTCACAATTATGTTGTTACTGTTACACTCGATGTCCACATTTGATATCTCAGCACCCACTGAAAACACAAATGTGCAAAATAAATTAAAACATTCGTTCTAAAAATTGTTTTTAGATAGAATGCTAGTATTTTCAACTTCTTTGATGATATTTTCTTCCGACGAATTTAGATTTTTGTCGGAGAAATAGGGCCCGAATAATTTACTAGTCAGAAAATCGTTTAACATTTTGAAATCCTTGAACATATTTCGCATCACATCTCTGTAAATATTCTAAGCAATTAAAGACAGAAACATTTTACACTCATGGGTGAAGTTTGTTTACAAAATGATATTTTTTTCGCGCATTTTGTTTAGTAATTATTTATCATTTCAAACAATATTTTTCTCAAAAACTTGAATTTTAAGGGATTAAAGAATGTCTGACTAAAACATGCGTGGAAATAACGTAGTTTTACGTGACAAAAATACACGATTCGAAAGAAATCGGTGGAATATATGGTTAAAAATAAAATTTTTGAAAAGCGGTATTTATAAATTTTCATTTTTCTAGAAATTAAATATAGAAGTTTTTGTAATTTTTTTACTCAGTAACTATTTTACTAATTTTTTCAAGGCTTAAATTTTCTTATATAAAGTGAAATGAATTTAGTTTTAAAAATTTTTACAATTTACAATCAAATTCTTTTAGCCCTTAATAAATTTAATAATAAAAAAATAATTATTTAAAGTCATTTTTTAATTGAAATTATTTTTGATTAATTGAGATTAATTGAAATTATTTATTGCGTGAAATTATTTTTTTATAAATAAGTTTTATAATTATGTGAATAAATTAATAGTTCCATCAGACAAATAGCAAAATACTCGAATTATAAAACTAATAAAAACTTTCAACTGTTTTTCGGTTTTGTAATTGGTTCCCTATCTTCCACATTGTGTCTACATCCTATATTTTTAAAGGATTCTTAAAAGAAAAAGAATGAGGTACAAGGTGAGTGTTTGTGACTGAAATTTAAGATTAATTCTAATTATTGAATCGAAAGCTTCTCACGATGATTCAACTGCTGAATATAAAAAAGAAACCTTTTGCGTACCACGCTCAATATGAAATTAAAGAATGATTCTATTTAAAGACACATTTATTCAAACTATCGATTGTTTGAAAAGACATCTCTAGAGGAAAATCATCACGAAATTTATTAATTGGAATGCATAGAAGGAAAGTACCGTTACTTCAAAATCATATGTGATTATCGGAATGCAGGTGACATGAAACGAGAATATTAAAAGAAGAAAAAAAGATTTTCAGGCAAAAAAAGGTTGTCTTTGTGTTTGTTTATATTTAATACTTTGTGAATCCCTGTCAGTAAGATAACTAAAATAAAGAACATTTTAAGCTTTAATATAATATATCACTGTTAGAAATTTTTTAGAAAAATATTAAAATAACAGTTTAGTTGTTATTTTACAATATTTAATCAAAATAGTAAAATAACCATAAAAAAGATGATATTCTAAATGTTAAGAGAAAAGTTGTTCTCTGACTATTCTCTCCTAATATGGTTAAATAAACAGACTTTTTATCCGCAAAGCGCACCCAATAGGAATCGAACTCACGTTCTCCTGAAGCTGTAAGTTAAGCAATGTCATTAAGACTGCGCATTTGTGAGTTGAAATCGATGGAAACGTCCATCCTCTGCTGCCATGTAGTCTCAGTCGTTCAGAAAAATTTATGTTACTTTTGAAATTAAATGTTATTTAAACCAGTCTTGCTCCTAACATTACCTAAACTTCCACGAAATTCATCAATTGTCTTCTAAATGACCTTCGAAGGGAGACTTGTAACAAATCACTGACAGTTTATTTCATTATGAGTGATTCGTCAGATTGTTATCATACTTCGGGATGAAGAGTTTGTCTTCAAATGGTTGATTGCAGAAAGGGAAGTCATTCAACCATAAAACGACAGCCCCATTCTTAAACTCGGCATATGAAATGAAAAATGGCGACCGCAACAAGGAGAGTGAACAGTCGACCGAATTAATCAACCGTTGGAGAGAGTTCAAGTCTATTAAATGTCAACATTCGAATGGGAGTTCGAGAGTTTTCAGACTCTTGAAAGCAGCCATTTAACTTTCACCCCTTCAAGATACTGTCGAAAACATAAAAAAAGAGAAATCGCAATAGAATAGAAATGATAAAAAATGAAGACTGAAAAAAAAAATCTTCTGAAAACAGAATTGCCCGTTCGTGGGATCAATTTTTTTCTTCATATATTAAATATAAGTAATTTTGGGTAGGTATTTCGTGTTCACTCCAGTAACAGTATTTGATTTGATTGGGTTGTTAAAGTGACATTGGAACAAAAATGAATAGACTATTGCCGACGGTTTGAGATTCGACCCAAAATGATTTTCCGAAGGGATGCACTACTCAACACTATCATAATTTAGAATGAAGGGAAATGGTGTTAATCATCACCTGGCCTGCACCACACTCCTCGAACGCCTTTCAGGCTCTGTAAGCGTCATCCAATCAAAAGCCAGCAGTGGTCATCACAGACTCAACCCCTCATGCAGATTGGGTGTTAACATTATTTGACACTTTAAATACAGAGGATCTATTCGAGACTATTTAAATATATTTAAGAGATCCACAGCAGTTCATTTCTGGACATTAAATTCTTGAAAGAGAGAATATTGAGACAAGAAAAAGATTTTCTCCCTTTGGCAAAATCAGTTTAATCTTAAAATTTAAATACTTCCATTTACAACATTATTAGAATCGATTTTGAGGGAGAAAAGTAATTAATATTTCATTTCATTTGCAGAGATTTTTAAAAAAAAGAGCTCTTTGGACATTTTTGTTTCGATTTATAACTCATAAACCAAATTCAATGTTATAGTACCTTTCATTTAGTATATATAAAAAAAAAAGAAAAAAAAAAAGAATAGAAAGAATGTTGCTTTTTTTAATGTTTCGAATCTTCAAAGGCAAAAATAAACTGTTTTAAGTGTTTCCCGATGTATATGTGTTTGAAGCATTATCCTTCAAAAGATTGACGTTTTGAATTTCATAAAGAAGGAACACCCGTTACGTGGTTTAGTGGGTGGGGGTCAATGACATGTCACGGGGTCGCGCACCAACACTTTTAAGAATCGTGCCTCGGGGACACTAAAGATAGAAAGACTGAATTGTCCTCACGCGTGTATTTCCGCTTCCGGAAGAACTATCTTTCTTTAAAGCATTTTATAGTTGTTCCTCATTTTAAAAACATTATAATTCGATGGCATGAATCCATTCCAGATGGTCTTTTTTTTCATAACTCCCCATATGAAAAAAAAACAACAACAACTATTGATAGAGAATCTGTGAAAATAAATCAAATCATGGATAGTAACAATCATGTATATTACGGTAAATGAGAATAGTTGGTTATTATTAATACTAACCGGTCAATATTACTAATAATCAAATAAACAGGTTAAAGTGAATAATTTAAGCGAATTTATCACGTTAAACGGTTATTATTAATAATAGCCAATAAAATTGGGTCATTCTTTCGCGTTTTTTTTCTCCTCACTTTAACCAAAAGTAGCGGTTATTATTAATTCTGACCGGTTAGCATTGATTATAACCGGATTTATCTCTTTAACCGTAACTTATACGTAATACCAGTTCTAACCGAAAAGGCGATCTAATCCATTTCTTCGTAGAGGAGACCCAGTGTGGACAGTTCTTAAAAATTTGCCAAAACTGCTTTCAAATCATTAGTCTAAATAAGTCCAGTATTTTTTTCTTATTAAAATTTAAGTGTTTAGCTTCATTTTGATACATAGGTTATTGATACATAGGTTAATTTGGATGTATACTTATTTATTAAAAAATAGTCAACTTTCCCCGCTTTATGGAGAAATTTTACCTGAATATTTCAAGTGGAAGCAAATATCACTCTTTGATAATTTATTTTTGATGTCAAATCATGTCAAACGTCTGAATTTAATAAATTAAACTACGTTTTTTGGTCTAATAAGAGGGTCATTCTTGTTTCTTATTTTGTAATATTTACTTTAATCGGTCAGCAAATTCTTCTCAAAATTTTCCTTTTCGAAGATGAGTAGGCTAGATTCGTCTTCTGATAGAGTGTTGGTATCATTGAAAGGTGAAATTGGAAACTTTTTCAAACTTACAGTTAACTGTACTGATGATAGTGTATGTAAATATAGTATTAGGGTTCCTGCAGTTCTTTGAAAACTTTTAATAGTGGTAATGAACATAATAACTAAGCTCGATCATTTAATAAATTTACGATCGAAACTACTTTGCAAAGAAAACATATCTGCATGAGTACTGAAGACTCTAAACACTAAAGTGATATCTTAAGAAAGGAAATTTCTGCAAGCATTACAATAAATTTACTACCACTTCTACTAATCTTGCCAGCCATTACTTCTATCATCATTTGCTCATTAAAGAAAGGCAAATCAATACTAAAATAATCATATCCTATTGTTAAAAACGATGAATGTAAAAATAAGAGCTTACTTTTCAACTATGAAAACATTCTTATTTATTTGTTACATAATTATTCAAAGTTTTGCGTTGAGACAGCAAGTTAAAGTGTTATCTCAACACAGAAGAATTGAAAGAACATTAATCAGTTTTAAATATCGATTTTATTTCATTTTAATGCAGTTTCTATCTGTATTCTGTAATCACTTTTTATTTCATCGCTTCGGTCTCAATTGAGGAGAAATGAAGTAAGGAACAGATTGATGCCTACTCATACAAAACCGAGTTAAATAGAGAATATTAGCCCGTATAGACATTTTAATAATTTATGCTCTCTTTCCTTATCAAAATTTGTATCTATTTAAAGAGTATTTGAACGAAAACTCATGTGAATTTGTGGAATAAAAATTTTAACGCGTTACTGTCTCATCTCTATTTGTACAATTCAAAAAATGTCAAATCACATTGCAAAAAAATGATCTATCCAGTGGTGAATTGTTGAATACCCTATTCATAGTAAGTGGTAAAAGAGTTGCATCATCTCACGGAATGGATTTTGGGCGTAAGGGAAAAAATTGCCAATTTCCTCCCACCCACGTGCAACTTTCTACTTTGAAGAGGACGCTTAACAATTTGTAAATTGGTAAGAAAAAAAAAGAGATTTTTTTGAGATGTCAGGCTGAAAGCCATCTTATACTGTATAATTGTCATGGAAAATGCTTCCCGACAACATTTGAAATATTGAGAATGAATCGAAATAATACTCGCCTTTTCCAAACAAATCCTGCCCCCGAAAAATGTAAAACTGTCCCACAGATATATTTTAATGCTCATTATGAATTTCACAGTTTTCTGACTGATTGAATTGTAATAAAAATGGTTAGCTTCGGAGAAAATCCAATTTATTGTATCAAAAATCAAATATTAAAAGCGTGACTTTTACTTTCACTTAAAATGCTCATGAAAAAAATATCGCCTCTAAACGGGAAAAAACTAGCACTTGTGTATTTATAAGACTTGACTTTATATATTACTATTTACTGAAGACTATTCTGTATTTTTAGATTTGTCCCGTATTGCACTTACTTCAATAGATTAAAGAATTAGTTTTAAGACGTGTCCATACTTGTCTCGTGTCAAGAGGCTTCTCTGGACAGCTAAAAAAAAGTTGTATCCTCCTCTCAAATCAGCTTTTGTATAAGACCAAACCAAAATGTCCCAAAAGAAGATAAACGCTTTAATAAAACAAAATTCTCTCTATATAAAAAATAAATTTATATAAATAAAATACATGAAGTCATTTTTTATTTTTAGATAATTATGTATTAAAATTCTATCTATATATTTGTATAGATACACAGACGAATCACTCCTTGGTAATAATAGGTTAAATGATTCCCATCAGTGTGCGGTCAAATACTATCGCATTACGCAAATTCTTTGAAAAATCTTTCAAAATATATAAATTATTATTCCTTCATTCTTTTTGCTGTGAATAGAAAGAGATTTTGAATCCAATTTTTAAAGAAAACATTAAATCGTGAAGTCCTTTTTTTTTAATGAAAAAACAATTTGGAATCTTACTAGGTTTTGAAAAAACATGACGGTCTTTTCGCTTGATAAATAAAGGGTTAGGATACCTATTGTACTCCATTCTTTCCGTCAAATATGAATTTAAAAAAAAGGAAGCATTTTATTTTATTTTTATTTCTTCAACTGAAGGCGGTGTATCAATAAAGGACGAAAAACTCTCTTCATATGGGGTCATATCATCTAAATTTTCAACATCTTTTTTTTTTTGTCTAAGAATTAAAATAATAAGTTCTTTCAACGCACCGCTTAGTAATTTACTTCCAATGCACCTCCAAATAAACTGAGTGAGCTACCTTAGGATGCAGCACTTTTATTTAACCACTCACGTTCGGTACTTTTCTTATTTGATTTAATAAGTAGTATGAATCAAACAAAAAAGAAGAAAAAAAAAGGAGGAGAGAACTTCACACGGTGGTCACAAAAAAGAAACAAGAAATATTTCTTTTAAGGAATAAAAATTCTTTTACGGATATATATATATATCTCAATTCTTTACCACTTCAGAAAATCTTTTGCAGAGTTTTTAGAGATTCGGTCACAGCAGAACATGAGAGGATTTGATCACCCATTATTAAGGGTGATTGTATTGTTATTTACCGCACTTTGAATATTGTTTAATAGAGAGGATTTGTTACAGGATTAGTCACAGAGTGCATTTAGGACAATGACGTCACATCCTTCTGATGGATTTCTTTTAATGATCGGATGATAGGACGAATGTAACGTTTATTATTAATCCTCTTTGGACATTTCCCAATTCAGAGTCCTTGATGTAAACATCCAAGACAGGCTTACAGCTCTCTTTGTCTTTTGGATCTGATAAGAAAACCTGTTTAAAGAAAATGTATTCTTCCTTTCAATGTCTTAAAGCCTTTCTTGTGTATGCCATTTGAAACAACGGATTTTTAATGAGGGAAGAGATTTCATTGTTTTAATGTCCTTTCCGTTTGAATATCCGCATTCAAAATAATCTCAAAAGAATATTTTATACGAAGGTTAAGCTTTTTGTCTGGCAATCAATGGAGACTTATGCAAATATTAGATACGTAAGAAAAATGCTTATATGTTATTATTTTTTCAATGTAACAGTAATTTTCTATATTTTTAAGTTTTGAAGTCATCTAGGGTCGAAATTGAGTTGACGAAATCTGTAACTTTTTACCTATTAAATAAATAAATGTCAGTTCTCTTCCTCATCGAGTTTAAATCTTTAAAACAAGCTTGTCATAGAATAAATAAATAATATTTTCTGTCGAAAATATAGCTTATTTTGTTGGCAAGTGTTATGGTATTAAGCATCGGGTGAAAGTGATAATATTATCCTGTGATATAAAAATCGTTCAAAAATTTCCGTTCGGGCGAGATGTTTGAAAAATTAATTTTTCTCATATGTTTAATTTAGCCTGTGGATGCTGCTGTTTATTTCTCCAAATATTTTAAAGATAATGATATGAGTGATGTTTGCTAACTTATAGCTCTTTCTGATTATCTAGTTTCAATTAATCTAGTTTTTAATTAATTAATTATTTTATACATGTTCTTTTTTATGTTATTTCAGGTAACCTCAAAGATCAATAAAGATAACATGTAAGAGCTAAGTCACAAAATTAATATTCCTAAAGTTATATAAAACCACGGATTTCTACAGTTAAGTTTTTGAAATGTACTGCTAAGAAACTAAAATATTTTAAATCTACTATAATTGGGTACCTGCAACTCGAAAAGAAGTACGCTAAAATCAGCTGGTTGAGTATAAACAAAATGTCACAGAAAAGTTACTGGTCGTAGGCTTGGTTTATTATCACGCAGAATCTATTTTTGGACCAGATTTAATGAATGAATCCTGGTATAAGTAAATGCCACGATTCAGCAGTCAATCAGGTTCAACAGCTACGCGCGTTCGCAGTTAACCAATTGAATTTGCACTATATACTAAAGGTCTATTTTAAGTGTATAATTGTAAAAAAAAAATACTCTGAGTGTTCTAAAATAGTTATTCAGTCCAAAATAAGGTGTATTTATGGATATTTTAAGCAATATGTTTTGTAATGTATTTTAAAGAATCATGTTTGCTTCCGTTATTTTTTTTCTCTTAGAGCCTAAGAATGTGTCGATATTCGCCAGATCAATTGGAAAAAGAAGCTTCGGTTCATCCTGAGTCTTTTTTGTTTCGGTCACATTTTACTTTCTTAAAAAAAAAACGAATGGCTGTTAATGACATTTTAAAGCGGGCGAACGTGAATGGAAGAATAATTAAAACATTCAGATTAGAAAAGAAATCTTACCTCCATGAAGAACGTGGTTAGCTGATGATATTTTTATCTGAAAAATAAAATACAATTACTTAAAGACTAAAAAAATAGAAAATTTTATTAACTGCAAGCATTGGCTAATGAATTAAAAACATATGAGATTTTCTATTAAATGCGTGCTCGTTTGCGTCCCGCAGTGGACTGATCGCTAAGACACGGTTCCCAGCAGATCACCGAAGTCAAGCATCGCTGACTACGGTCAGTGTGCGGGTGGGTGACTACTTGGATCAGTCTGCGTAGGGACCGAGGGTGTGCGGTATTGGTCCTCGTTAAGCTGTGCTACCGTAAAGTGCTCGACTTCGCGCGCAGGTCGTCGGGCTACCGAAGCGGGGGTGCCATCCCCTCCGCAGAGGATCAAAATTGTGATGGCATGTCTTCGGATCATCCTCCGGGATGTTTCCCAGACCGTCGCCAATAGCCCATTGTGCAGCTCTAGTGCGACGTAAATTAACAACAACAACAACAGCGTGCTCGTTTACAAAACCTGTCTGTAACGTTGGTGAAATATCAACCACAAAGTAAGCTGTTTACGATAAACGCAGTAAAATGCAGAAAATGTCAGATCTTTGATCATTTGAGTGTTGATATTTGTAATTACAAACAAATAAAGCATACCTTTTGATCAAATAACAGATTTTGAAAAAATAAATTTAAAAAAATGAGCTCCAACTTTGGAAATTTTTAAAAGTGGTCTAGAAAGACTTAATAAATTGCTTTTATTATGAACCAAAATATGTTTCTAACTTAAAGGAAATACAATTAGATGTTAAAATTGAATTTCAATTCTTTAAATTAAGGCCTTTAAAATTTTTTCAACAGGCCCATGAAACATTTCTCCCCATTTTTTCAACCCAATGAATGTAATGAATTATAACTTTTGACTGCTATAGTGGGAATATTTTTCCACCCATCAAAAACAAGCAATCTATTCGTGTTTTAGCATAATAAAGTTTTGATGAGTCATGAATGTTTTACTTTCTGAATACAAGTTTGAAATGAAATTACCTATTACTTTAACTCTTTTACTTTCTGTTACCACCAGGCTTCGTAGTGGTTCGAAATAAGAAACAGAGCAAGAAGTCAGGACAAAATCAGCACTTTTTTTGGGCAATAGACTTTTATTTTAGACTATTTTTAAGAAGGGGTAACGAAGGGCTAAAAAATAGTGTACACGAAAATTTTGTTTTATGCGGCACATTTCTTTAATTACTCCACAACATTTAAGAAAACAAGGGAAACACCGAACGTATTCAAATGAAAAATCAAGATTTAAGCCGTTGATTAAAACTATTTTAATATAAGGTACGATTTAGCTTAGGCATAGATAGGGGGAGAAACCTGAGAACACGAATTTTCTTGACTTCGCAAATAGATTCCCTCAATCTAAAGTTAAATCGAAATAAATTTAAAAGAAACTGAGAATTATAGTTAATGTCATGCAATAATATGTAACTTGAAAACTAATATAATATGATCTCCGTATTAAAAATAAATACATACAAGTACCAATACTTAAATTAAATGGACGTTTAAAAGAACTTTCAAATTTTGCAATGTAGGAAATTTATAAGAAAAACAATGCTTTGACTGCAATTTAATGGTCGAAAGAAAAAATTAGCTCAAAATATGACTAAATGTTAATAATTCATCTTTAACATCATTTTCCAAATTATAATCGGGCATATTAGGCAACAAATTTCAACAGCAAAAATACGAAAACTGTAACAAAATTATAAGTCTGATGATTAGTAATTAATGAACGGTCTCAAAGTTCAAACCATCGTAGGTTTACGAATTTTTAGAATTATTAAGTTTTATCATTCTTAAATGAAATATAAAAATGCATTCATTTCAAAGTGCATTAAAACTATACTATCAGTGATTAATGAGTATGTTACTGTGAATGACCGAAATTGGCAGTTGTTGACTTCCACCGGTGAATGTTGACAATCACATAATCACTTTGGTAAAAGTCCGAAATACGTACTAGGTCAAGTTAAGTGCCATTGCCCTGTATGCCCTACATCTATGTTTTTTTTTAAAGGTCAAGTGCTCAGTGTGCATGTAACCGGCACTCTAAACACCGATGTTTCTCCTAATCTATCCTCCTCAGCAGATATTAAAGTATCGAATAAATATAATAATATCAAAGAAAAATTAATATCAAATCGGATATAACAATATTTCGGACATTCACCTAAGTGACTATGTGAGGGTTGACATTCACCGGTGGAAGTCGACATTCCCTTGATTTCGCTCATTCACTGTAACAAGTATTTTCACAAATTAATAAAAGAAAATGATAATAATCATTATAAGGATTGATTGCAATCTGAAAAAAAAAGAGTGCAATACGACTTTATTAGTTCACATTTTTAGATGATGCAAACTTATGGTAAAAACCAGGAATTCTTTTTTTAAACAAAAATTAGGCAAATTCTAAGGCATCGAGGAACAAAAAACTTATGTCAAGGAAAAATAAATTTATAAAAAAGTTCGTCTGTTAGATCAATCACAGATTATTTTAGATAATAGTTCATTTATAACAGACAAATTTAAGTCATTATAAATAAACTTAAGGTAGAAAACAATTTAGTACAAAGGATGGTTTCAATTAAGAAAATTTATGTTCTAATACTTATTGAGCAATAATTTGTTCTTTTGAGAAAAATAAAGGGTTTTTTCTGCTCTTAGTTTGAAGTACGTTTCGGATTTCACTTTTTGAATCGATCTTATTTCTTTTAACTAAAAAAATCCCTTTTAAATCGCATGTTTAGTCGAAATGGTATGTTCTGAACAAACAAAAAATTCAGAAATATCAAGACAACCTTTTCTCTGATACCAATTTTTATGAATTTTTCGAAAGATTCTATTTTTACATTGAAAGTGATAGCATAACGTAAGCTCTTTAACTTAATTAAAAAAGATTTTAACGACCACTACAGAATAAATAAATGTTAGTGAGTTGAAGCTTAGGCGAAGTATTAAAATGCACTTTCGCAGTATCGTTTTGGGAGAGAGGTGTGCTGATGGTTTTAAGTCGAAATAAATGTTTTAATCGCAATTATAAGTAATCATTTAAATTGAAATCGTGTTTTATAACTACAGCTAAATATTCTTGTATTTCTACATAAATATGACAAATTGCTATCAATGCTCATCATTACTTGTCATCGAGACTACAATAGTAATCGTAAATTATGATTGTCTGTAACCATGATTAAAAACAATAGAATACTGTATCATCCATTATTGCAGTCGTTTCTACAACTGTAGTAATTCCATGGCTGCAAACCCTCATGGATTTTCCGCATTTATCTTTAAAATGGTTATAAAATTTAGAAACTTTTTTTTAATTATTCGGTTTTTAAATTAAATTTAAAATGATTTTGACCACAGTAAAGGTACAAGTAAATAAATAAATCACATCTGAATTACCGGAGTTAGATAAATGCAAGTTATATTAAACGATAGTTTGTTTAAGATCTGTCCACCACACCATCATTTTACTTGAGGAAATTCATAGAGTGTACAAATTTGCCGGTATGGTTATAGGATTCAAGAGCCGCGGTTTTTCGCTCCCGCCATTCTAATTCTCTCTATGAGATTCTACCTTCAGGTTAATAATATTATAAAAATGAAAGTAAATACACTTTTGCATCTTGAAAGAAAGTACCCGCCCTGAAGCAACTCATTATTCAAATTAGTTTTTCGTGTGCAGGATTTTTGGCGCTCTTCCTAGGGGCAAGGACGATTGGGATTTGACCTTGGAGGTCAATTACACTTTGGTTAATGAAATGGCTTTTTTTTTTTTAAATACTATTTCTGCGAATTGGCTCGAACCGCATTTCGTGGTCTTCTACATAACAACAGTTAATGGAAGGTTTTTGTAGCTACTGAGAAAGACATTTCAACCAACTTCATTGAACTCGAAGTATTTAATTAAAAGAGTTCTGACAACGCAGGTTTATATGTATGCCTTGTGGTCGTCGTACGTTGCCGAAAATTGGCAATTCTCGCTTCGACGGTGCTACTACGCTCGTATTTTATTAATTAAGCCATTTTTTTAAAAAAATATTTAGTTTATTCTATGAGCGATAGATTGAACTGAGTAAACATAAAACTAAATGTCATTAATAATAAAACTTATAATTTTAAATATTATAACTTATTCCAAAATTACATTTATAATGAATGTTTAGTTGAACTACGGATATTATAAATTTTATAGAGAACTTTCCGATCCATTTGTTCACAAAAAAAAAGAAAAAACACACAGATGAATTCAAAACATCCGTGTATTTAAAACATATGAGCCGTATGCTCATTCTTTATTTTCATTTTGATGTTTTCAAGACAGTTTAAAGACGGAAAGTATTAAAGGGAACATGAAATGAAATAAAAAAACAAAGAGTCGGGAATTGTATAAACAACAATAAGAAAAGGCGTGTAAAACAACATAAATAAAGTGAAAAGAGAATCATGAGTTGTAATTTAGTAAGATTAGTTCCAACTTTAATTCTAGTTTCTTTCTTTTTATTTTGCATTAAGAAACTTTACAAATATGCGGAAACTCTTAAATGAGAAATTTAATTTTAAACTTTCTCGATAGTTAAGAAGCATAGAGATTGCAAAAATAATTTCTATCATGCGGCCTGTCTTTTCTTTACTTTCTTTACAAAAATTGGGCACCTGGGCCGCGTAGCACACCTATCCCATACATCTAGAAGTTTACAAAAATTTATAGTAATAACATTTTGAATTTAGCAGTCGATGTGGTGGCTAACAGAAAAACAAGCACTTTGCTTGAGTAAATATAACATTTGAATATCTGATTCATCGAATCTGAATTGTCACATATCGACATATATAAATATAATCATAATTTGACATGTATGTATATATATATATACATAATTTGACATAAATAAATATTAACATGAATTGATATATATTTCACTAATTAAAGTTCTATTTTTAAACTGGTACATGTTTAACTATTAAATATGT